CCACCTTTTCTTAATTGCTATATTTTGTACTAAAACTTTTCGAGAATCAAGATGTTAAAAAAAAGTTAAAGATAAACAGCCGTTCCTATGTAGGTAAAGGCATTAATATAGCAACATCGTTATAATCGTCGGACATTTCCCTAAAACACGATGTATACTTCAGCAATAATCCCAGAAAAACGATCTTGATCTCATATTATACCAGGTTTTGATAAAGTCAGTGTAAAGTCATTGTCAGGTAGATTACCTTGAACATCCAGAACGCCCTACCGCCGATGAAAAAGCCGTTTTTACCAGGGATATTGTCATACAAAACCACGTGCGTGTCATTGTCAATACCCAGAGAGCGAACTTGCTCCTGGAACTTTTCGGGCGGGGGTAGATTACGGGGGAAAAGGGGAGTATTTTCGACGTCTTTCATCAGTTCAAAGAATAGTGCTCCGGGAATGTGAGACCTGCAATAGATGAGAGATATGTAAAATGGTAACGGGAAAGCAACATAGATACACAGACATTTTTTAAAAATCATATAAAAAAATTAATAATAACAGAGGCGGATCCAGTTATATTTTTTAACAGTCTTCCATATTATCTTTCTTGATCCTTCCTACATTTTCGACAGAAAAAAATTAGATACCCGTCAATCTAAACTTGAAAACCTGAGTGTCTTCCGGAAGACCCAGAAGACGGCCTAAATCCGCCCCTGAATAAAAATTCAAAATAAATGAAAATAGTTACATAGAATCAAACGTATGTTAATTTCAATCCTCTCCAACTTAGTCACACCTGAATAACAAGGCTAAAAAGGTTTACTAAATGCAATCAGACTAAAACGCCTCCTCCTGGAGTTGAGTAGTAGGAAACAGTAAAGTTAGTACCAGTAGTCTACTACTATGAGATCACCCTATTTTACCCAAGATACAAGCAGCGTATGAAATTGATTTTGAATATTCTTAAAATATTTTATCTCTCCCCCCCCCCCCCCCCGAACGTACACCAACGTTTGCCTGCGTGCTCGAGACGTATACGATCTGAGTTTTACAAACCTCTTGCGTCTGTCTGCGTATAGGTATTTTTTTTCTCATATGATAGCGCTACACGTTGGGTGTGACAATGCCTTAAAGAGAGCTTGCGGATGTTTGATGAGTTTCGAATTTTGGAATACCGGTCCAGCTAAATTAAAAGGCTCTCTGTAATATATAATAATATGTGTTTCGTTCACAGATCACTGCTAATAACAGAGCAATGAATTTGTAAACCTATTCATATTCATTTATCATTCCCCATTTGAGGCTTAGCACCAAAGGCCAAGAGGTCAAGAGTAGGCGAGACGACAAGTGCAGTATAGACGGCTATATAGCCTACTCGTAAGCTTAGGCCTAAACGTTGCTCATGCAATGACAGCTCAGAAACCTTTCACCCTGAGTTTCCGAGTATATAACAGGCCTAAACGTCGCTAGTGCAGCAGATTGCAGTTCATATACCTATATAAAATGAGAACCGACACAACATGATAAAGCACCTATATGCCGCACCTATCAAAATCATCTTTCCCGTTCTTCGCACTGTACCAAGTGACGTCCAAAATTCTCAGTTTGTTTCCAACTCCCGCGGCCTCTGCCAGGTGTTCCTTGAGCCATGCCGAAGACACTAGCAAAGGCGTGTCACCATCGGCAGGTTTGGTGGCCATGTCTCGAATACCAACGTGATCTTGTCGCCGGTCCTTTGAGGTTCTCCACTAAGGTGGTGGAAGTGACCTGGTTTATCGTTGTCGCATGAACTCACGTGGCAAGATCACCTTTTCACCAGGCTTATTTAGAGCATTTTTCATGTCGTTCGGAAAAAGAAAGTAAAAGAAAAGATGGCCTCGCTACTTCTCGCGCCTTCTAATGTTTGATGTGGCCAGGGTGATACATGCTAATTATTCCCCTTGATTCTGTTGGTAGTGGAAGCAAGAAAGAGACAACTGTGTGTGTGTGTGTGTGTGTGTGTGTGTGTGTGTGTGTAAGGGGGGGGGGGGGTATCGCCACCCCTCCAGTGTCACAATTTCCGTATTGCTGACTGGATGGTTTTTTTTCTTTCTTAAATGTCCTTATCTATTAGGGTCTACAGGCATTTAAAATTTTAGCAAAGGCCAAATATATTAGTCTTCCCGTTCTAAGCATATACGGTTCAACAAGGATACATAATCATAGTGGCAGAATTTTGGTTTCACTTTGAAAAACGACTATATATAAACATAGTATAGAGGCGTACATTTTTTTAATTAAGCAATCAAATATTGCCAGACAATATGATAAGCCATTTATTTTAACAGCTTCGCATTATTTTATTCCCAAATTAATAATAATTACTCTAAAATATGGTGACTCTAAAAAAAAAGAGAGAAACGTGGATACCGGAAAACGCAACAATTTTCAAATAAAGCCCTTTTTCTCTTTTACAAATAACGCCCTTCTATAAAGTGCTTTTTTTTTTTTTTTTTTTTTACTGTTGGGTGCATATTAAAGGACCGAAAGGCTAGCTATATCCAGCCAATATACGCAGTGAAACCGAGGAAAACAAAAACGTCTTTAAATTCAAACATTACTCGTTTAACAGTGAAACACGGGAAAACGTTCTTTTTCGAACTGGTTTTTGAGAAACCAACCAGTTACCAACTTGTGAGAGCATCAACCTCAATGACCGGTGTATATCTGGGCTTGCGAAGACAGATTAGTTTTGCAGTAGAATGAAGTGATCGCCCACTGTCTGTGGCTTAAAAAACAAGTTTTCCTCACTGGTTGATTTGGCAGAAGTCAAGTCCACCATGGACTTCCTTTGCCATGTTCGGAGAGCCTTGAGAAAGATTCGTGGAGACAGAGGTAAATTTTGCAGATTGAAAGATATTTTTACACAATTACGATTCTTTTATCCTGTACTAATTCCATTCTCTTTAAATTTCATTTTACCTTATTCTTTATGGGATAAACTACTATAGTACCATCCCAGTCGCGAACACAATCGCTTTTCTTTTTGTAAAACTTGCTGAATGGGACAGGGTTCTGCGACATATCAAAATGCGCCAGTTTAAGATATGCAAAATCTGATCTATTTACATAAAACGTATTCTTTCGATTGCATTATATGAATACATAGCATTGCTTCTGAAATTGTTAAAACTTCTCATTGCTCTGAGAGTTATCTTTTTTTTTTTTGTATTTGCAGACCATACTAAATGTGGCAACACTTACAACGAGAAAACTGTAAAAAGAAAGATAAACTGGAAAGATTTGCCAAAAGTCATACTGTTGAAAGACTTTCGACCTTGTACAATGGATGGCATTAAAGTCAGCCACGGCCAAGAAGTCGCCGTAGTTTACAGAGACAACGACTGGCTGTACGTCATGACAAAAGACAAGAAAGAAGGCTTTATTCCGTTCTTTTTCTGTGCCGAAAAGCTTCACCCTCGGTCACCCAAGAGTGGATCGACCGTTTTCTCCGTACAAGATAAAGATATATCTAGCCCCATTACACCAGGTTTCATGAATAACGATTGTGCTTCAGTCTGTTCTAAGAGCGATCTTTCAAAAAAATTACAAACACGCGGGAGCAGCGTATACACCGGAATCTTGCATAGATCCAAAACGTTATCACATGAGAAGCAGCCTTGCGGATCAAAAACCGTAGATGTCGACTGGATCCCGACATGGCACGCTTGCTCAGATCAACATACACCGAAGAAACAGCCGATTCGGCAAGAATTCAAGGAGGACTGCACCAGAAGCAGAGGCCATCCAAAGGACCTAGCTGACATTGCACCATTTATCAAAATTTCATTCGGGGAATATATTGCCCTTTTCACTTTTGTCCCTTTTGAAGAGAACGACATTTTTGTGAAAAAGGGAGAGATCGTAACAGTTCTGAACATGGATGATCCGGAATGGTATTGGGTTCAAACTTGTGACCAACATCAGGGCTTTGTGCCTAGTGGCTACCTATGTCAAACAGAAAATGTGCAAAGCATTGGAATGACATCGTAGATGTTATTTTAATGAAATAATTTTTTTTTGCCATTTTTGTTAGAATGGAGAGCAAGAAGTACAACGACCAGGAAACTACGCAGTGGGCATTACTACAGGTTCAATGTATTGAAAAGACGAAAAATAATTTTGAAATCCATAGACGTTTATTTTTTAAACAAGAAAAGGCAACTAAAGAACAGAAAACTGCTCAAAGAAATGAATAATGATAAAAGATCAATTTATTAAATTTTACACATTATTATTTTTAAATCAAACCATAGACTTATTCACTATTTATTAAGTGAAAAAGGTCTGTTGCAATGCGTTTTGGATGAAACTATTTATCTTCAAGATCTTCCTTCTTAAGCTTCTTATTTTGGAGTGACCCTGATGCAAATGTCAATGAGGAGTCTTTAAACATAAACCGTTGAATATCATGTCTTTACAGATGGTTTCCTAGGCAATTTGGTCTGTTCAATTTCTAGTTCTTTCAACTGACGCTCTACATTTGCTAAAACTTCTTCTTTGTACTTCTGAAATTGGGCCTTCTCTGCGTCCACTCTCTCTTTCACTGTGTTAATCTTTTCTCTACGTATAGCAAGAGCTTGTTTTACGATTTCCAAACGTGCCCGTTTTCTCTTACTGAGCTTTCTATAATAATCAGGGTGAGGGATATACTTGATTTTCAAAAATTCCAAAAGCCATTTAAACTTCCTGTAATCTTCTTTTCGCAATTTTTTCAAAAGTTTTCTCCTCTTGTCTATCCTCTCTTTTAACTGGACCCTGGAGCGAATATCCTAAAATGGAATATATATATTAATTTGATTCTACCTGCAGAATATAAAATTATTGTTCATTAAACTGTACATGATCATATGTGGCCAATTTGCCTTAATTTTCTGTAGTACTTCATTTAGACCCGAGTTTTTACTATGAATATATAAAAAAGGCAGCAGAGCTGTCAAATGTACAGACAAAAAGCAGAAAATAATGATGCACATAACAGGTTATTTTTAAAATTTTGATACAAAAATACATATTGCTCAACATCACAATAACACCAAATTTTAATCTTACACAAGTAACACTGACCAAAAGAATAAAGCTTCAGGCCCATGAAAGATCAAATTCAAACAAAAATATCCCAATCAGGCTGTTTTTTTTTCCAAACTTGACCTGTATTTAAGTAATATTGATCACTACTTTAAGTTTGGAGACAGTGAGTCTACAGGTTTTTCACTCAGTGTTACTTGAATAGCTTATATGTTGAAAAAAAGCAAAAAAACTGGATAACTTTTGTAAAAATGGTCCAATTTAAGAGATAACTTAGTGTCCCCAAAGGACAAATTAGACCAAAGAGAACAGTGTGGTGTTGTATACCAATGTGAGTGTCAGGTATGTGGAGAGAAATACATCAGAGAGACGGAACGTTCTATAACAGAAAGAATCACGGAGCATCAAAAATCAATTAAAAAACGTGATAAAAAAATCTGCTCTCAGCCAACACCAGGAAAAGACAGGACACTGTATAACATCAACAATCCTAGAAGACATAAAAATCTTGAGAGAGCCACGGGCCACAGGACCTACACCATAAATTCTTGAAGCGATTAACATCCGCTTACATGGGGCCAAGCTGAATCAGAGTGATGGGACTGAGCTACCCAACCTCTACCTACCACTCTTAAGGGAGGGGCAGGCAAGGGGGGGGAATCTGACCAAATAGCACACCAGAGAGGTTGATAGGTTGTCACACCTATCACCCCCTCTTTCCCTGATGAAGTCTGACTGCAAGCAGATGAAAAATTGGCTGTTAAGACCAGACAAATATAAGTAGCTATAGACGAAAAGAATCTTTACAGGTCCAATCAAGCTGATTTTTTAAAACTTGACCTGTGTTTTACTTATAGTGTGTTCTTTGAAAGTGCATGACATCAGCATTAGCAATGACAACGTCCACAGCTGCAGGTGATGGCTATGTAATTTTAGTGGGAACATCATCAAAATAGGAGATGAAATAAAATTTCTATTGTTTCTATGCAGACATTCAACTTTTCACCTCTTCATCTGCAAAACATAAAATCATATCTTAGTGTTTTTATATTTTTTGTCTTAGTGTGTAATACTTATAAGTCAGAAGTCACATTAATTTCATAACAGATTCTGAAAACACAAATTTCAGAAAGAATCAAAACTGACAGTCATACCCGTTTGCATCGTGTACAATGCTGAATTTGGTTGCGAATCCTTATTGTCCACTTTGCAACTAAAAAATAAGGAAAATTATCTAATTACATAATTTATTAATTTCACTTATTGAAAAATAATGAAATTAAATTGCTGTTCAGTAGTGCATGTCAACAATATCCAGTGCAATCACATTTTGATATACATATAACATACAGTTATGAAACTAATCTTGTTTACTTAAGCCAATTTCATTAAAATTTTTCAATCATGTTTATTCAGGAAAAGCAATCTACTAAGGAGGCAATAAAATAAGTGTCACTATGGTTTTACAGACTTTTACAGAAGTACAGCTAGTACTTCTAGGTTGGAAAGAAGCTGTTGTATAACTAAAAGTGTAATCGGTGACTTAGTACCTCCATGGGGCTGGGTAGTTATTTACATGTTAATATTCAATATTAAGTATATTCAATACTACCACAATAAAAAATCTGCTTAAAAAACTGCTACTTACTTCGAACTTCCAACGAATCAAGATCTTTAGGATGAATCTGCACTTTTCTTGTTATATCATAAAGTCGGTAGGCCATCTTTTCTTGCTTCATTTAAAAACAACAATAAAAAAAGTAAATGACACATTTTCATTATCTCATAACTGCCATATTCTGAGAACAATAAAATATCTTAAATAAGAAAAGATAAATATGGTCCTTCAAAAATGAATTAATAAACTGCTTTAAGTGTTTAAAAATTTAACTGAAAAGAATTTATCAATAATCACCTATGAAAATATCAAAACAATACAAAGTTAATAGTTTGATCACATTGTTTTTATATGCCTGGTATTCATACTGTTTGATAGTTTTTGCTTTCAAATAAATCAATATTATCCAAGAAGACTGAGATAATAAACAACTCATTTTACAATGACAACAGATGACCAACACATCGTCGTCTCTGAACCTAAATGGAACAACTTATTACAAAAGAAATTGAAAATGACGAAAGCATGTGGAAAGATTGCATTTAATAATAGTCCCATCTCTATTAATGTAATATAAAAATGTAATAATAATTATTTGGCACATTTTATGAATTAAAGCTTTAATGCACATTAGCCATTACGCAACAATCAAAATAAAAAATCACTTACAATAAAAATACAAAATATTCGACCATTTAAGTCAACAATTAGTTTATGATATATAACATTTAAACTATCAAACTTTAGATATTTTTTAAAAATAGTAGTCTTTCAACTGTCTTACAGTAGATGATTCCAAAGCTTTAGAGCATTATTTCACCCCCCCCCCCAAAAAAAATGGGACTCCATTTATACAGCGTTCCTAAATACCTACCCCATCTGCAAATTCCAGACTGCAAGCTCTTTTTATCATCTCGTTACCCCTGATAAAATAAAAGAAAAAGATTAATAAATCAAATTTCACGTAATCATGCAGATTGTAATATCTACTGCTTTGAAAAAAATCTGGCAGTATGTTTTCTGATAACGTTACATTTTCTTGTTTGCCATGAATTCCAGTTTTAGGTTTATTATATCATGACTGAATTAAAATTCACCACTAAAATACAGTGATAATATTTATTTTCAGTGCAAACTCTACAGTACTTACATATATTTATCAATTAAATACTGGTCATGAAAGCCAGTTTTCAGTGGACTGAGGTCAAGTGGTTCAAGAGCCTTAGTAATGTCACCTAAAAAAGATAACTTAAAATTAATTAAATGAAATTAATTCAATTAATTTAATTAATTTAAAATCTTCACAAGTGACAATGGAGTATACCAGTTCCAGGACTCTGTCACTAGATTGCATGGATGCACCAGCAGTCCGACACCAGCAGTCCGACAAAAATGAATCTTTCAATATGATCAAGCTGTTTGCATCAATTTGATCTGCAATATGCCAGTAAAAAATACATACATTTATTTTTTTTTGTATTTGTTGCATTACTTGCACCAAATCATGTAATGTACTTTTTGCAAATTTAACAGTATATGAAGGCTATCTTTCAAATATACCCTAAATAAGGTAGGCCTACATATGAATAAGAATCAACAAGGTATTTAGGACATTCCTTTAACTTGTGGACAGCGTTAATTCATAGGTCAGAAACTTAGCAAACAAAAGAAGCCAGGTGAGATGTTATCTTGCTGGCAGGTAAGGAAAACACCAAGGAAAAACAGGGATGTTTAATATCTATGATCACCTATATAATTAGCCAGGATTCTCATGGGTTTCGTCTTTGTGTAGACATGCTTGACAGGCAACCCCTTATTTCAAACAAAGCCCTGAATCCTTGGGAAACTGATGCCCACCATGTTCATTTTGACACTCAGGTACTAGTACGCACCAATACTGAGGCATGTTTATGATGAAAATTAGCATTAGTCTCAGATGCGTTAATTTATTAAATAGCCACTTTAGGACTGGTGGTGCAACAGCGACATCTGGCACCAAGTGAGCTGGTATACCCCATTGATGAATACAGACCATCAGAAAAATATTCAAGACATATTAGATAAGCAAAATACAGTTTTGTACGTTAAAATACACCAGCTGCAATGCTTACACATCATCACACGAAAAGAAAGAATATGTCAGCCTCCCCAGGAAGAACAAATTACATAAAAGTAATCATTAATGTAATAACCTGAATTCATACTTTGGGGTACATATTGTGAGAATATCAAATCCCTAGCATATACATTATTTTTACAAAAAAAAAATAATAATAAAAAAAAATAATAATAGCATTGCATACTTCATACTCCACTGTTACAATACCTGTGTACTTCACTTTAAATGGTTTTAAAGTTGGAAAGCGGTGAAGTTTGGCTTGCCTTCTGGACACATATCTTTTTGGCTCTAACAAATTTCCTGCCAGTAAAATAAAAAATTCTCAATTCTAATATTTAATGACATTTTAAACATCACCAAAGGCAAGCTTTGCAAAATCTTTAGTACAAAGTTTATTGTCATAACCAAATTTTTATAAATGAAAAGTTGAGTTATTTTAAAATCTTCAGTTTGTAAACCAGCTGGTTTTAGGGAGTGTTCTGATGCACTTCTACAATAACCTTTTACAGCTGGTTCATCACTGAACAGCTATAATTATCAATATTTTGCCAGTCTTGACTTAGCACGAAAATGCATGCGTTAGCACTCCTATTGACAATTCTAATATGTACTGGCGTGGTAACGCATGAAAGCAAAGGCCTCAAAAAGTTGGAAATGAAAACCGGTCGCCGAACCAGAGTAGATTTGACCTGATTTTCGTCAGTTTATAGCGGGTGTATGATTTTACGATGGTCAAACTGGTAGATAGATGAATTTAAGGAAAGTGATACTCTGTTGATGGGAAAATAATGTGCGTGTTGAGGAGATGAGATGTAAAATAAAAATTGAGAGCTGCCGCACCGCGGCTGGTTTGGCAACCAGTTTTCATTTCCAACTTTTTGAGGCCTTTGCTTTCATGCGTTAGCATGCCAGTACATATCAGAATCGTCAATATAAGTGCTAATGCATGAATTTTCATGCTAATCTTGACTAAGAAAGGGGGAAATGGGGCAGTTCCCATTTATAAGCTCTCCTTAAAGAACAAAGAGACCTTTACAGAACCTGATCTGCAAAAAGTCAGAGGAGCATTTAAGTAAGACTTCAAATTTCAACAACTTATGGCAAAACTTTGAAAGATGTAAATTTGTGGCTTTTTAGCGCCCCCCTCCCCCCAAACGCCATTTAACAGGTCACACTCACTAGCTCCAATGTGCCAAAAATTAAAGCTGAAAAATTCTGCAACACCTTTACCTCCTTTTCTTTTACTGGCTTTAAGGAGGATGTGCTTATTATGATTGGAATGCATAAATCTCTTCTATTTAATTTTTACATGCACTCCAATCTTTTGCTTTTTGGTACCTTGGAAAAACGTTTATTACTAATAAAAACTTATTAAATAAAGTCTGTCAGGCTTTCGACCAACATTAAACAACAAGTAACTGTCTTTTTTAATTGACACTGTACATCAATGACTGAGCGTTATCGTCAAACAATCCTTTGGCTCTTTTAAAATGTTATTTGTGCCGAGTGCCTGTGTCACTGTATATGCCTTTACTTGCCTTGAAAAACAGCCAAGCACTGCATATTTGATCCCATAAGCAAAGTTTTAGAATTGAAGAGCGGTACACGGCAGCTACGAATAGCTGCAGGCACAAGAGAACACATTTTTCGGGCAATTTATGGATGCTCAATGCACAACGAAGTATTCCCACTTCAGTCCGAGGAGGCAGCCATTTTCTTATCGCACATTCTCGTAATATTTAGTCAAATCTCGTAGGTCGGAACATGCCGAATCTGAACGGATTTGACCGAAGTACATGGCAACGTGACGTCAAGCAGGTAAACTTTATCCGGGGCTTTGTTGGTTGCTTGACGACAAAGTTTATTTTGCTGTCAATGTTCTCTTTATGCTGTGTTCCAGAAAGCACACAGCCATTTTTGCGTTAGAAGCTGCTCGGTACGCCCATTACAAGCAGAGATAAAAACAGCAATTCAACATAAAACATAAGATGCACTGTGCTGCGAAGAAGCGCGTTGTCAAGTCAGAGGATGCTTTCACGATCAAGACTTGGCAGAGTCATGGAAATATAGAGGTAACAGATTAAATGTTTCTTAATATTATATGTTTCCTCATTTCATTTAAATGGATTCTTTCATTTGGTAATTTAGGTGTTTCATCATAGTTGATTGTCTGTAAAGCATCTATGAATATATCAGAATTCAGTGGGACATTGCTACTGGGAAAAAATTCATAAAAACTTTTTTCACACTCACACTGAGTAACAGTAAAACGTCGGAATCGTAGGGTATTCTCGCTTGTTGTTGTGTCACAAAATTTTGTGTCACAAAACAAGTGTTGAGGTATTTAAAACATGAGTGAGGTTGCCTGTTAAAAAGTAGCTCTTTATTGGGGTATACTTCAATTATGCCTAAGCTGTAAACGGGTTGACTTAAAACACGAGATAGAAACTGACTGAAGTAGACCTCATTCATGCTTCTTCTAATTATTATTATTTAAAATGATTTTGTACTTATCCACTGAATTTCATAATAGTAAAACATTTGATCTTTATGCTAATTGCTAAAAATATGCCATCATGTTTTGGAATATGATTTTGGTCAGTAATATTCATTTACATGTGTACGTAAGCTCATTGGATCTTGTTACTTTCCTGATGACCTGACTGAGTTATATCAATTTGTAAATTATTATTATTATTATTATTATTATTATTATTATTATATTAACAGCTGGAGGGTCCAAAATCTGCAGGTTCCCTTACTACAAGACCAACAAAGCCAACAAATTTCAGAAAATTTTATGAAAGAGGAGACTTTCCCATTGCTTTAGAACATGACACAAAAGGCAACAAAATTGCATGGAAGGTAATTATCATGAACTTTTGTATTCTGGACTGGACTGTGTTAAATATCCAAACATAAATGGTATATATACTAGTAACATGAAAACACAAGCATGGTTGTCAGTATTTTGGCTATTAATAGCTGTAGTTAAATTATTTTTTTAAAAACAGGTATGGTCAGATATATTAGTAGTTTATTTCAATTATTCTTAGTAAGTAACCATTATATATCAAACAACACTTCAAATACACTTTTTCCCATTTCAGGTTGAAATTGAAAAGTTAGATTACCACCACTATCTTCCACTTTTCTATGATGGTCTGTGTGAAACAGTCCATCCATATGAATTCTTTGCCAGACAGGGTGTACACGATATGCATGAACATGGAGGCAGCAAAATCTTACCAGTTATTCCACAGCTTATTATTCCAATCAAAAGTGAGTTGATTTCTTCATTGTTTTGATTTAAGTGTAGTGTACCCATTCAGAATCATGAAAATTAACAGTGAGGAATTTAGATATTTTTAAAAATCTTTTTAATTATGAGGTATAATTTATTAGTGTTTAAGATGCTCAGTAATAAGAGAGTAATATTTGATAGAAAGAAATAATTTTGTGGTTAATCATGCTGCGTCGTGTTAATAATGTGATTTACCTGTAGATAGTTTGTTATTGCATATTATTTTTACTTTTAGATGCTTTGAATACACGGAATAGGCAGGTGGTTTGCACAACCCTGAAAATTTTACAGAACTTGGTGTGTTCTGCAGACATGATTGGAGAGGCTCTTGTCCCCTATTACAGACAAATCCTGCCAATGCTTAATCTTTTCAAAAATAATAACTGTAAGTAAAGCTTGATTTTTTCTTTTCTTTGCCTGTAGTGTATATTTATAGTTAAAATTGGGGATAAAGGTTGCAACAGTGTGTACATTTTGAAAAGATTTAAAGACTGTGTTTTGCATATTTTTTGTAATATTTTCAAATATGTATAACAATGATTTTTTCATTAAGCAGTACTCATTAAGCAGTAATAAATTTAAAAAAAAAAGACATATATTGTAATTATATATATTGTCATATTTTTTAAAAAGAAAGTCATATATTGGGAATAAAAGAAATCATTTTTTCCATAGGTGCTTATTATTTTTTTGTTGTTTTTTCAGTAAATTCTGGTGATGGCATTGACTACAGCCAACAGAAAAGGGAAAATATTGGAGACCTCATTCAGGAAACACTGGAACACTTTGAGAGGCAGGGAGGTGAAGATGCATTCATCAACATCAAATACATGGTCCCCACATATGAATCCTGTATGCTAAACTAAAGGGGCAATCATGAAGACTCAGACATTATATTTTATTGACCTCATTGTACATATGTGTATAGTTCTGTGAATATAAACTGACATGCTGGAAAATTAAATGGGCGGTGGATATTACTATAAAGCTGATTTTGAAAAAGGTTAACAATACAGAAAATGGAAGCAGCTTACTTTCAAGTTCTTTATTTTCATGTAGGACATTGGCTTTATTTATTTATGAGAAAAACATCTTAAAATGCATGGCTGGTGCTGTGTTATCTAATTTAGATATATGGCATATTTTGCAAGATACTAACACATATATATATATATATTATTGAGCAAGAGCTCACTACCAGATTTGAAGAATTGACATGAAAATGTGCAGTTCATCATTTATGTCATCTATATTTGTATGTCCTGTATATTTAAAAATATCAAGATGCTTTAATTCATCAGCTGTGAAGAATATTTTGTTCAAATAGTTTACTCAAGTAATGTCAAGCAATAGCTGAGTACAGTATTAAAGGTCAAGTTAGAGAATTACCATTTTTACACCAAGTCTGCTGTATTGTTGCATGTTTATTAAATTATCAGCTGTGAAAGATATTTTTTGCAAGATATTTTCGGCAATAAATGTGTGTTAAGCCATTATATTATTTCTTTATTTTATGTTGCTGATTTAAATCTTAATATTAAAAATAACACTTTAGGACTACCCATCTGACATTAATATGTTCTACAATGTATCAATTTAAATAAGGAACCACCTAATATAAGCTGAACAATATGAACATCACTGGTCTTGCTCAAAAATGAGTATACCGATTTTCCTTTGCTTTTTTTACTTATTGCCTAATGGAACTATGAGGCAAATGAGTATACATTTGGAAGCCAATGTTGAATTTGAAACACACATATATAATCTTTCATCTTATACGTACGGTACATGCCGTACCAAGCAGGTATTCAGTGTGAGCTCGCCAAGACAGCCAAGTAAAAATCAATACTCCTAAACATAGACAATTACAAAAGATATTGACATATAACATCGTATGTAATGTATGAGAAAATCGATCTTAGCCAGTGAGAAATCAATTTCAAACCAGGTTAATAATTAATTGCGGTTTCCATTTAAAGGTGTCACGTTGTTTGGAAACAGTTCTATAATCGATTTGCTCTTGGTGAGATTCAGAATTGTGCTAGATGAGACAGTGACGTCACAAAGCCAGGCGCTGATTCATGGAGACTTAACCTGCTCATGTGACTTTAGCATGTGACACCCATGATATTAGTCATATGACCCAGATTACGCGAAGAAGACAGGTGATAAACAGGTAAGTCCGAAGGATTTATCTCGTTTTAGATACTGAACTTTGTAAATTATTTACTTCACATGGTATAGTTTTATATTAACAGTACACGAATAACCCTGCACGATGTTGTTAGGTCAAACAATGGGGCGGCAGTCCGTTGCAATGGCACATTAATTTCCTTTTTTGTGTCAAAAGTTTACAGGATTGAAGAGGAAGGAAATAACCCTTTTAAAGTTTTTTAAACTGCACAAGTTATGAATTCTAAAAAAAAAATACCATTTGTGTTTAAGTGGCAAACTGCATATATTACCTCTAACCGTTTTAACCTTTATGTTAAGTAAATTCTAAAACGCATGTTATTTTACCCCACAACAATTATGCAAGCTTGTTATATACCAGTATTATCGTATTAGAGTCGGATATTACATAGGTATAACGGCACTCCCAAATAAAACTAATAATTGATAAAAAGTAGAACATTGAGATAGATACTAGTTTTTAAAAAATTCAACCTAAATTTTCTATTATACTTATTAAAAACAAAATCTGGGTACATCTGCTATATTGTGAATTATACAAGAATTAATTGTATTAAAATTATCGGAAAACCAGTATTTTTTCCGACATGTTGCAAAACAAATATTTTATTTTTCACTTTCTTTGTTGGGTGAAAATAAGGTCAGAGGCTATGGAATATACATATACTAATGTTAGTAATGTTGATATTTAAATGATGAGTGTTACCATGGGAGAGTCCCCTAGTTGATAGCAGTACTTTGTGTCCCGACATTAATAGCCCATTGTTTATGATCACACATGCTTTGGTTTAAATTACACCAATTAAGTGAACAGGCAGGTGCAGTGTTTCATTACCCTGCTTTCGAAAATAGAAATTTGGAAACGTGAGGCAAACAAAGGATATAACTTCCTGGTCCTTTAAATGGTCAATAAAATAGTCAGAGTCACCTGACTTTTTTCTTAATCATGTGACAATTCAATCGAACCACTGTATATAAGTCAGCTGTTGGTACAATTCTTTGTCAGTTCCACTAAAACCATTTTCAGATTTGACGTCGTGCATGTACAGTTCCATTAGAATTCACTTCATTTGCAAATTTGTGATACTACCAGTTGCAATAACAAAGGAAACTTATTTTTCAGACGTATTCAAATAAAACCAACTTGAAAATGAAGGGCCTGTACGTGCTAGCTTTGTTTGTGTTCGTAAGTGTTACTGGTGCTCCACAAGAATGGATCGAACTGAATCCAGCAAGCAAACTGACATTCCATCCTCATGAAATCCGTGCCCAGTGGGAGGAGTTCAAGGCTATCCACAGTAAGTTCAGTTTTTGTTTGGTCTCAGTGATGGTTTTGAATTACATTTTATAATGCTGAAATAATGTACAAAGGCCATTAAAAATTGCTCAACTTTTGCTGGCCTTAGTTTAAAAAGAATTACCAAAATATACATACTAGGTGAATTGTAGATTTATTCTTTTGTTTGTAATTGTAGATTTATTCTTTTGTTTGTTATTCATAAATGTCCTTTTGTAAAAAAGCCAGTTTCTGAAAAGACATAGGGTTGTAAGTTTTCATCTTTCTTTTTTTAAAGAGAAGACTTATGCTACTGCTGAGGAGGAGGGAAAGAGATTGGATATATTTGCAGAGAACATTAAAAAGATTGAAAAGCACAACGCCTTACATAAGCAAGGTCTTAAGTCCTTTACCCTGGGAGTGAATGAATATGCTGATATGGTAGGTCGAACAAATAGGACAGTTATAAATAGTATAAAAGGAGCCCATCAATGAAAATGTTTTGTACATGCGGAGTCTATACCTGTATAAATCTTTTTTTAAACTTTTGCATTATTTTTGCTGAAAAGTGAAAAAGCATTGTTAAAAATTTTTTTTGCAAATTACTGACCATTATTTTTTGAAAATGTGGTGCCCAGGCCTGTGAGTAATTTGGTACACATCACAGTTATTTGATGAGAATTACTATAATTTACACAGATGTAAGTGATGGTTCTTTTTTTTTTTGTCATATACTTGACATGACTGATATGATGATGTTTCAAATAAGGGAATTGGCAAGAGGAAATATATAGAAATAAATAAATATGTGAAGTTCAAAAGTCACCTAACTTTCCATGCTGTTTATGTGACAATTAATTAAACCAGTTGAATAAAATACTAAGTTGAACAGTACATGAATATTTTCAACCAAATTTGAAATATAAAACAGTCAAGTCTTTACAAAATCAGTTTTTTCATGTTCTTTTACCCTTTGTAAAGGAGAGGATGCAAATAATTTCCAGATCATTCTGTACATTCCAGAGAGCTGATGAGTTTGCCAGAGTGATGAATGGTTACAAGATGCAGAAGAACAAAACAATGGGGTCCACCTATTTGTCCCCAACCTTCACCAAAGTGCCAGACAGCGTGGACTGGAGAGCCAAGGGATACGTGACCTCCGTCAAGAATCAGGTAGGATTCAGAACACAATTATTTGAACTCTGCGTCAAAATCAAAATTGTGAAAGACTTTGTCCAAGAGGTTTTGGCCATTACTCATGGCTTTGAGCACTTTGACGTTTGATGTTGATGATGTCATTTTATTCTTATATTTGGATTATAATAAACCTACATTCAAGTGCTGCTTGAAGAGTTTAATGTGGCTTATGGATAATGCTTTAATGTCTGATTATTGTAATAATTCAGGAAAGGTTTTTTGGAATCTTTTTTTTTATGCTGTGATGGTTCATTTGTGTGTTTGTAACATCAATTGTTTATGAAGTTTTGTATTTCTTTCTTTTACTTTTTAAGAACAGTTTAAAATTTGCATTCGCATATTTTTATACTTATAGACTTACAGATTTTGTAATAAATATTGAATCATTTCAGGGTCAGTGTGGTTCCTGCTGGTCATTCAGTGCTGTAAGTATGAACAATAATATTGGTGCATTTACCAAACATGTTTGATCTCTTGTTATTTGTTTGTTAAGTTGGTCATATAAGCAAGCAAAATGTTCAAAAGGTAGAACAATCAGTGGTAGTGGAAATTTTGTTGGAAAAGTAGTTTTTTGTTGGAAAAGTAGTGAAATGACCATCCTTATATCCCTAAAATCTGATTGGTTAAATGCCATAGGAAAGTGTATCTAAACATGCTAACAAATTTATTTCCATGCAGGAACAGGAAGGTGCCTTGTAAAATAGGTTAGCCTTTTACCCAGTCTGAGTTTTCTAAATGCATTTTATCATTTAATTTATATGAAACTGTTTTTACTAAATAGGCCGGTGCCTTAGAAGGACAGCATTACAAGAAGAGTGGCAACCTTGTCAATCTTAGTGAACAGAATCTCGTAGATTGTTCCACAAAATATGGAAATCAGGGTTGCAGCGGTGGTCTTATGGATCAGGCTTTCCAGTATGTGAAAGATAACGGAGGCCTTGATCTTTTGTCATGCTACCCTTACGTGGCTGAGGTATGTAATATTATACGTGTTATTCGTAAAATGTGATGTGCTTGTATAGCTGTATGGTTGCTTGCAGACTGGAGCTCTAGAGGGCCAGACCTTCAGGAAGACAGAGGTTTTGGTTGATCTCAGCGCTCAACAGCTGGTTGACTGCTCACAGAAGTATGGCAACTTGGGCTGTAAAGGAGGCTTCATGAATTGGGCCTTTAAGTATATTAAGAAAAATAAGGGGATCGATACTGAAGAGTGTTACCCTTACACTGGGAAGGTAGGTTCACTTGGAGATGGGTCAGAGGTTACTTGGAGATGCCTTAATTTAATTAAGGGGAGCGTCTCAAGGTCAGATGGGAGCAATGGGATGGAAATGCAAACTTTTGGAGAAGGAGTTATTAGTGCACATCCAAACTCTCTTGCACAGCATTGGCATTTTCACAGCCTTTCCAGGTGCTTTTTTTATAATTTTTCATTATTAAATTATTTTTATTCCAGTGGTCTTCAGACAGGTTTTCTATTACCTTTGTTTCTTACTAAAGGCATGTTTTCAAGAATTATTTTCAAGAAGCATTATTTAAATGTCTGCATGCAGGATTTCCATTATTTATTTAAACGTATATTCCTTATCATGGTTCATTTCGGTTTTTATTCATTTGATAATTCATCAGCATTCATTTGAACCTATCTGAATGTGGGTTTGACTCCAGAGTAACATAGATGCAATTTTATATCAGTGTTATTATATTTAAGAAATCAGATGTTATCAAGAATATTCAATGAACTTTTGACAAGATTTAAAGAAATAAAAAAAATACAAATAGAAAATGAAAAGGCATATTATCAATATTTAAAAGTAAGTTGTATGAAGAATTAGTTGATATAGATGTTGTGAAAAAGAGTCTGTTTGTTTTAAATTGTTGAATGCTATTTGGGCTCTCTTAATACTTAATTCATGAGAAGGTATTGTTTCCAGGATGAGAAATGCCACTTCAAGAAGGACTGTATTGGAGCCACCTGCTCAGGCTACGTAGATGTGTCAAGTGGAAGTGAGGAGAAACTGAAGGAAGCCACAGCCAATATAGGGCCAATCTCTGTTGCCATTGATGCTAGCCATTACTCATTCCAGCTGTATAAGACGGGTATGTGTATATAAAATTTCACATTCTCAGAGAGAGAGAGAGAGAGTTCCTGAAAATATCAATGTCTTTTAAACTATTCAGTGTAATTTTAGATATATTGTTATAAATAATATTTTCATATTAAATTAATGCTTAAAATCACTATGGACAATTATCTCAGCATGAAGGTAACACGTTTTTTGCAATTAAACATCCCCCTTTTTTTTCCCCCTCAGGTGTTTATGATGAGGAAGAATGCAGCAGTTCTCAGCTAGATCATGGAGTCCTGGTGGTTGGATATGGTACTGAGGATAAACAGGATTACTGGCTTGTGAAGAACAGGTTAGATATTCATAAATATTGTTTGCTGTCTTAATTTAAGTATCATGTTTTCTTTGATAAGCAATTGCTTTATTGTGGAAAATAAAGCTAATTTCATAAAACGGTAAACTTGCGTGAAGCCATTTGTCAGTAAAAATGTCATGTTTCATGTCATTTTCAAAGAATATTTCGTAACTATTAAAAAATATGTACGTGATTAGTTGTTTAAGCTCCACTATTAAGTTGTGCATTTTAAACGATGTGGAATGTAGTCCTTTGTTTTAAACGGAGTGAAATGACCTGTGGCAAGTAAGGCCTTAACTTACAAGTGGTGACATTAAGTAACATTTCTGAATGTTTTACTTTCTCCTTTTCTTCCAGCTGGGGCACCACATGGGGAGAGGAAGGCTATGTGAAGATGACCAGAAATAAGGATAATCAGTGTGGTATTGCCACCCAGCCCAGCTATCCACTAGTATAAAAGTGGGTAATTAACATTTAATTGCACATTTTTGATCATTGATTTAAGGTTAAAAACGGGCACACACACAACAGTTGTGAAATATGACCTTAAGTTTAGAATTTGCACTCGGTCAAAAAAGTTGGGAAACATCGTTATTTTGAATAATTATAAAATAACCATGAGCTAAGGTAAAAGTCATGGAAATGACTAAATTTGAGCAAGTCTTGACAATAAACAGTGGAGGCTTCACTGATGCTCAAGACTTTTGTTAACTAAATCTTACATTCTGTATGCCTAACATTAAGATTTCAATACTATTTTTTCTATTTTACTCTTATTTCAATATATTAATGCTAATAAACCAGGTTTAAGAAATAAATTGATTACAAATAATAGATCACTTAAAACTCAAATTTATATTTCAGAGTCCCTACTGTGTTGTATCCAAATAGTAAGAACCAAACGATGTGAAGCATTTTCCAAAGACAATAAGTGCAGGACACCCACTACATGTCATTGGGCAATCATATTTTTGATAGAAAGACAGGGAACTATTTGAAAACTTCTGATTATTTATGTATGTAATATTTCTCAGGCTTGTTTTTTTTAAATTTATTCCACACACATTTATCAAACAGCATCAACTGCATTGTGTGTGAAATGTCAGTTTTTTCAAGAACAAAGCTTTGGTCTAGGACTTTGCAGTAACACTGCTAATGACATTGGAAAAAATTTGTACAAAGTGTTAGTAAGAGGGATTAGAACATTAGAGGATATGTTATGGAAGTTTTTGGTCTGCATTTAAGGAGGTGCATCTTCCTTGTACCAAAGGTATAATCTATGCAATTTTGTTGTGAACTTATTTTTTTTCAGATTATCCAAGAAATGATTTTTTTTTCACATTAACCAGGAAGTAATGTATCCACTTCATTTTTAGCATTTAGTGAAGGAGGCATTTAAGTTTTTTCACCTTGATCTATATGTAATTAATTATTGATTTAAGACAGGTCTTGGATAAAGAACACCAGTCTGACCATTTCATGTATTCGTTTATCTTTTAAAATCTGATGTGAGCAAGGATATCCATTTTGCATTTTTGTTAACTCTCTGAAATCCAACAGAAACAATGAGTTTCTTTTATTTCAACAATACACCACCTTTTTTCTTCATATTATAAGGTTTATGTTTTTAGAAGAGTATAGAATAATGAATAAAATACTTTCATAAACCCATGTAGAGTATTTAATTTTTATACAACACTTAAAGACCAAAGAATGGAAGAAGGCTTCTTATATAACATTCCAATGTATATTTTGTCAGATGTATTGCTTCCTGAACAATCCCCACAAAGCTCAAATTGGCTGCAACTTTCAGAATTTATTTTTGCAATAATGCAGTGTTTAGAAGTAGTGTGGAATTAAGACTAAAACCATTGTAGAAATTGCCATCAAGGTNTACCAAAGAATGGAAGAAGGCTTCTAATATAACATTCCAATGTATATTTTGTCGGATGTATTGCTTCCTGAACAATGCCCACAAAGCTTGAATTGGCTGCAACTTTCAGAATTTATTTTTGTGATAATGCAGTGTTTAGAAGTAGTATGGAATTAAGACTAAAACCAGTGTAGAAATTGCCATCAAGGTTGATGAACTGAGAATGTTATTATTGATCCACTGAAACTTGAGTGCTGCCTCTATTCCCCAATATGTCAACATGTATAACAATTGCAAAGCACCTTGCTACAAATTATTACAAAAAAATTGCTTAGTCCCAATCCCAACCCTAAAATAAGTGAAGTTATATTCCATAAATATTAACAAATTGTAAGACCAAACTCCAAGTGTGTCTAAATGTTAAAATCTTAAAGTAACAGGAAAAAGAATTAAATACCATAGTATACATATGCTTTCATCCTATTTATAAGCATTACTGGCTCCTCAATTTTTGGTATACTATCCCAATTGAATGATTTCAAATTCCAAAACCTTAAAATCTAAAATAATGGGACATGAAACCATTTCAAATATGGCATTATGTTTCTGATTGTTAAATTTGTATATATGCATACTGGCTTTTCATTTGGCATAAATCCACAATCAAATTTTATGATTACCAATCCCCAATTCCCATATAAACTCTGTATAAACAATATAAATCTTATACAACGCTAAAATGACCCAAAATAGAACTCTTGAATATCACATAATTTTACACCCAACAATAATATGAAATCTGTATTAAAAAACTCACAAAAATCTACAACATATTTAACAATATTCACCCTCAGTTTCAGAGTTAACAGGAAATGGTAGAGCCATGCTGATGATAGAGGTTTAGCAGTAGCTATTAAACCAAAGGCCATTAAGGTCTACAAGTTCATTAACAAGTTCATTTCCAGTAAAGTCTGAAACTCCCAGTGACAATAACTTCAACACAAAATTGAAAGATAGAATTTAGCTGAATTGCATCTTTCTGGGTTCTTTTAATATTAATAATAGATGCACTATCCATACATATATTTGTGCTTTTATGGTACTCTAAATCAAGCCTTGGCGGTACATTACACAACATATATAAACTTAATCATTACTGGCCAATTGAAATAATACATACATGATTACTCTATAGGGATATATTTCTCACCCATCTACTAAATCTTGTACCATGTGGTTCAATAGCATTTCTTGCAATTAAATAAATAAATAAATAAAATAAGATAGAAATATCCAAATTATGTGAATTTCTAAAAGCAATCACCTTTTTGTCAAATCTTCATGCCCAAGGGGAAGACTGCCTTAGTTACTCTTTGCATTTATGGAAAACACATATTACTTAAAAATACAAAAATACTGGAATATTCAAACTTATGAAGAGATGACAAGTACAGCTAGCAAAAACCTTCTCTAGATTGTGCGCACACTTTAAAGAGGGGAACTTTTTGAAAGGATATATACATCCTGAATGCAAGCATAAAAGAGTTCAGTATTTTAACCAGTGCCATACAAAACTGCAAAGCAAAATACTACGGGTAAATGGCATGGCTAATATAATTATATACTTAAAATTAGACTGCGAAGTATACAATATTGGAAGCTTGCTATTCATGGGCTGACGCTTAAAAAGCAAACATTTAAAATTATAAGTAGATAAATTACATCCATTATAAAGCCATTTTAGTTAAAGAATCTATGGTTCAGAAAATTTTTATTATCCATCTTGCAATTGGGGGATTACAAAACATTATGTAACGCATGTCTTGTGATCTTTAAATGCAAGATAGTTAATATAAGATGTTTTAACCATAGATTTTATAACTAAAGTGTCTTTATTACAGATGTAATGAATCTTTTTATAATTTTGTCTGTGACTTCAGATATCAATCTGGCGTAGGCTGATTTTAAATCTGCCTAGGTGAGATAGAAATTTCAATCTTGCCTGGGGCCAATTTTAAATCTGCCTAAGCCAGTTTGAAATTTCAATTTTGCCTAGGACTGAAATTGCAGTCTTGCCTAGGCAATTAAAAATCTTCCTTGATTTAAATCTTGCCTATGACATACAGATAGAATAGAACTCCAATGTGAAATCTGGCTACTAGTTATAACAAAAAAAAAAAAAAACAAAAAAAAAAAAAAAACAAAAAAAAACAACAAACTTTCCAGTGAATTTGTACTAGATTTTCAACTTAAAATGCTTCTGTTTTATGTAAAACCTGTAAAGACAGGTAGTTTTATGGCAAAAGTTATTTCTGATGTTATTTTTCACTTTAATCTTATCTGATACCTTAAAACATCTTCAATAACACTTGGACTGATATTTTTGTGACCCTCGACTCTTCTGTATTTTAATACTGCTCCTTTAAAAAATGAATGTTTTTTTTTTGTCTTATTTTACCCTTTAAAGCTTAATTTCAATCTTCAAAAACATTGTCCGTATATGGTGTCAACCTTAAAGAAAGTTGAGCTCCAAAAATTGTCCCACTGTATGTTTTAAAACATATCTTCAATGACCTGTCTTAGCCTTGGAGCCTGTTGGACCTCCTTTGTTGCTCTGTCAAGTCTGTACAGTATTGGGCAGTCTAGTGAAGTACATGGCATATTAGAATCCATAGTTCCCATGCAGCTTCCGCAGATCTGAAAAGTATAATTCCTTTTTTAGAAAGAGCAAATCTCCCCCCAAAAAAAATTGTGTAAAAGATTCTTTAAATATAAAGATTGCCTCACTCTTCAATGTGATAAAGACAAATGATGAATCATTTGAAGTTGAAATGTTATGTGGACAGCATTTTTTCCTTGTCTACGTCTTATAAACTTAAAATGGTCCATAATTACGGAATATATTACAGGCACTCATTATAGATAAATTTTGCAAACTTGAAAATATAGTCACCTTCAGTAACTGCTGCTGAGTCCTCTCCCACTTTAGAATTCTGCTGTTCAGCACGGTCACTGCTGTCTGAGGGTCAGTCTGGCACTGACCACACACCCCCTGCTTGGTTAATTCCCCACATACTGGACAATTAATATTGTTGAAATACTGGGAGATTGTTCCCTAGAAAAATTTCAATGTTATTCTTTGAATCCATTGCCAATGGTTAGTAAAATCAAAATCTATATGTACATCAGGTATAGAAGAACTCATAAGAAATATATATATAAAATATACGTAAAACACTTGAAGAAATTAATTCTACAAAGAACACTTCTAGCAGGCAAGTTAATTTCTAAATCAAATTCATCCTAACCTTCTTTGTATCACTTGCAATATCCATGGCTGGAGCTGCTCTTATCACTCTTGGCAAATCTTGATACCTGAATGAATTAGATTACTGCGGACTTTATTTCTGTAACATGTGTGTATGTGTGTGGTTGTGTTAGCGTAGCGTGTTTGTCGCTTTCAGTTTGTATTCGTGTATGTCTATTTATCTAGAAAACCCAACCTTTCTCATTTCGGGACACATTGCCTTCACACGTGTCGTACACATTTACAGGTAAATACGGACTTGATTAATTTGCTTTTTGTTATTTATGTTATTTAAGAGTTTAGTTTAGCTTTATTTTGTTATAAAAATAAGTATATTTTAGTCCACTTTTCATGTTATTTCATCTCGATTGTTCTTTATTTCTTTTTAGTCTTAGTTAATCTTATTTGTTCTGTTTGTTCTTTTAAATTACTTTGAGACATTTGCCCTCTCACATGTGTCGTATACATGTACAGGCCTGGCAATAAACAAATTTATTTTAAAACGTTCTCAAGTTATTCACAAGTTGGGGATGCTACTGTTACATTTCTATTACAGAAATTGATTTTAAATCATTTAACAAGAAAAAACTTAAATGAAGACCCTCACAAAATGCCACTGTCTATAACCAGAAATTACAGATCAATTGTCAACTTCCGTTGAAAAAAATTCTCACAATGTGTTCACAACTTATCAGAATAGATTATATCCTGTAACGATAACTGGATTCTGAAAATCAAAGTCAACTTACCTCCAATTTGCTTTCACAGTGTCAAGGTACAGCGTATAACATATTAGACACTATTTCAATCATCCTACAGCACGTTTCATTATGCTATTCACTTACCATGAAAAAACATCTACCCCAATCAATGAGAACAGTCTTGCCAGTGGGGGCAGAATTTGCTTGGTGATGTAATAGACAGCGTTGAGGCGTAGACTCGAGTCTTGAAGAACCTCCACAGGGCTACGTACTAGCTGTATCAGTGGAAGACCTGGGCTGCCGTATACAATAACATAGGGAACTCGCTCGCCCACCCTGGGTTCACTACGACGATCAGCTGCCAACATTTTCCTATCAAGTTTTACAAAAAATTTTAGTGCCACATCTAGATCTGCTCAATGTATCAATAAGGAAAAGTACAGGCATCTTTAAAGGTAGGAGTACAAAAAATTGAGTATATTGACTTGTTAATATTTCTATGTATAAATAATTAATGGTACAAACTGGAAGTACAATGGCTTGACTGACATGTATCAACTTGTTACTCTGGTTTAATATTGGATTTTTAGTTAACTGCAAATCAATGAGATTCATAAGTATACTTGTGTTATTGCACTAATAATATAGCAATAAAATTACACATGACCAAAAGGACAAAACATGTCACAAAATGATAGGATTATGCATGATAACAATGTGAATAAAGTGGCAATATAACCAAGGGGGGGGGGGGGGAATTTACTTTGACAGTTCCAACGCTGGCACACAA